ACTGCTAATGAAATTGTAAAATTTTATAGTTAATTATAATAGAATTTTTATTGACACCTTAATTAAGGGAATAAGAAAATTGGATGCTTTTCCAATTTTCAACGAAGTAGAAAGTAGAATATCCCTTTAATAAAGTGGCAAGTATATATGTATACGTTTAGTATATGTGCGTTTGATCTTTAGGTGGAACTGAAAAGTGTTTAGGAGAGTGCAATAGAGTTCTTGTGTCAAAGAATATCTGCACCCATTACTTGAGATTAGAGCTGGAACAAAGCCATTCAAGGCTTTGGGTAGACGTGATTGCGGGTTTCCTCAAAGAGTTTGTGCAGGGTTGGTCAGAGTTGAAAGAGCCAGAGTATTACAAGCTACACTTGAAAAAAGGGTGCTGAGAATTAAAGTTTGAGAGAGAGAGAGAGGCTCTTTGTGAAGGTAAAAGCTTGGCAAATTTGTAATTTTTGTGACAATTACTATTGACTGTGAACAGTGGAATAAACCAAATGATACTTTAATATGATCTTGAGCTTGCCATTGAACTTATACTACACTATACACGCAGTAAAGACGTTAAATAAAATAAAATGAAAATCAATGAATATATTTACTTTCACATCAACTTGAGACTATGCTCCATTTTTCACTAACTGACAAAAAATTTTCCAGCTTTTTTCTCTGCTGAAAAATGAAGTTTACCACTGAAACAACGATATATGGTTACAAAAATTAATTTAAAATAAAAATAGGACTGATAACTTTAAAGCCAATCAAATATGGATCCTTCTACCTTTTATGTATTCAGGACGAAATCCACAAAATATCGGCGTTTATTGCGACCGGATGGTTCGATTTTGGAGTCATCGAATGGAGTCACTCCATTATTTTGTCATTTTCTACGAAAAGAAAATACATTTTCTGCCTCCCCTTCTTTCACACTTATGCTTCTGTTGCTCCTGTATTAAGTTTCTCTTGTTAGACTCTTTATTCTTTGTTTCCATGGAGTTCATTAGTATAGCGGATCACGATTTTTGCTTTACTGTTAGTAAAATTTAGCTTGGAGATAGGAAATTGTTATCAAATATTTAGTAAAGAAAGATGCTTTAAAGAGGCACGAGTTCTAACAGAAAAAGGTTAGTACCTACTTTAAGGTTTGCATTGGTCAACCCCATTTTTGCATTCCTTGCTTCGAGAAAGTCCACAAGCATATTTAATTTATGTAACAATTCTGTAAATATGTCAAGTTAAATTCCTACGAAAATTTTGTTTAAGTTCACGTTGTGTTTCTTTGATATGCTATGTTTCTCTGTCGTTATAACGCCAAGTTATTCTTTTGAATTTTTACAGAAATGACAAGTACAAAGTATCCTCCTGATGTTATAAAACAATCAAATAATACATTCATACAAAAGAATAATTTCACAAAAAAGTCTAGCCCATATTGCATTAGTTTGTATCGTTGACTCATCGGTGGGTCACGTCGTCAGATAGGAGCATCTCTCGATGACCCACCGGTGGGTCACGCTGAACGTATTAAACTACTGAAAAATATTTGAAATTACAAAGAACAGAATGGATCAATTAAAATTGACTTGGTGCCCTTTCATTACCTGGATATTTCTCCGTGACGAGGGTCCATAGCCAGGAATAATCTGAAGTTCTTATGCGCCTTCACAGTGAACACGTTTCCTCCTTGATCGACGCCTTTCTCGCCAATCGTTAGAGCACCGTTTGGTTCCAGCAGTCCGTTCAATCGGTCCAAAATTGCTGGACTGCAGAGATTCACCTGATCCAGTAGTAACCATGTGCCATTTTGCAGGCACTGAAAGGGAAAATGCGACTCTTTTATCGGTTTCCTATAAAACGCTGTGGTTTACTCGAGAAATCACCGGGAAGAATTGAAATCACCCGTTCTCAATTTTCGAATTTTTAATCCGACCAAATTATCGTCAGAGGGGAACATTTTATTCCCACGATTTGGAAATCGATAATTGAAAATGGCAGGGGAAGGTGATAAGGATCAAATTTTCAGATAGCGCTCAGTTCAATTGCAAAGAATTTCAATGTAAGGTGTTTTCGCTCTAAACGCACGATTTTTTAGCACGAGAAATAGTAATTAACCAAAATTTGCCTGTTTTAAGTGGATAACGATAACAAAAATTTTCGAAAACAGTTTGTTTTCATACTGAACTCAACGTCACCTGGAGTATTTTAAACAGTACCGTGTAATTTTTGTTCGTTTTATTGTACGGAACATTAAAACGAACTCAAAAACACATTACATAGTACCAAGTGTTAATTAAACTTAAGCTATTCACTTAATAATAACTTTTCAAAGATCAAATATTCCATAATTAATATATAATACCATAATCAAAATGTGACTATTTAAATGTTACACCTCTAGTATAATTGTATTAACTTATTTTCAGTAATAAATTCATAAGAATAGAAATTTCGAGTGGAACATAAGAAATAAAATTAACCGCAGAAACGAAGAAGGACACTCTGACTATGAAAGATAATTTCTAGTGGAAAAATGTGTGTCAAGATGAAAAATAAAGAATGTGACAAACGACTTTTATTTCCGATTCACTTACACTACGTTGTTTGTACACAAAATGCTAATACATATCTCAGGGGGATTATGAAAATGGCCGGCAATTTGTTCCACTTTCTTATACATGTACACTCTACCATTCCGAATCAAGATGATTGCGGGAAATGAATTTTTCGAATATATCACGGGCTAAAAGTATGAAATGAAATCTAACCGAAAGCAGAGAATATAGTTCAGCGAAGTGAACGAGATAATAATTCTAGATTTCTGAACGTTGCAGTAAGAACTTTATTCAAAGTTGAAACAACGAAGTGTTTTTCAAATTTTTTCACTCTTTTGTTTATATAGACTAGTTGTGTATAATAGAGACTTAACACTAGAATTACCAACTTAAAATTACAGAAATTATTAAGATGCTTATGTTCAAGGATATAGTGTCTTTTGTTGAAATAAAGGAATAATTACAAATACCAATTTATTTTGCATTAGTGATTCTAATTTCGAAGTTCTTTGTATAGTTTTATATAAACATACCAGAAGGGAAAAAATAGATCACGTTCAACTCTGGTTGTTCTTGTGTTAATGATAATAAAAAATGAGGATAAGGTGAGAGTCACAAGATCGTTTCATATTTTTAACAGTTACACAAAGAGGAAAAAAATTAAAAATATTACACAGAGTACATAGAAACAATGTGAACACTTATCAAGCTTTTTAGAGAAATAAAACTGGTAACACAATTTATTATATTAACAAATGTATTTTTTCTTCGAAGAGCCATTGCCAACACTTTTGCAAAGAAAAGAAAATCTTTTTTTTTTTAAGCACTCTGTATTATTTTTTCTTCACTGCTGTCTATATAATAGTATCTTACAATAGGACAATTTTTGTCATTTCTTTTCCTAGGAAAAGAAAAGAAAATTCCACACACAAGTGTTCATATTGTTTTTAAGCACGCGTTGTATTATTGTTTCTTCTCTGTCTCGTAATACGGAAGATTTTAGCGAAAATATAGAAAACAGGGTGAGTAAGTGAAATAGAAAGAAAACTCACCTTCACAAGCACACTGTCAACCCACTCGAATTTTCCGCCTGCGTTCAGGCATTTGTCTTTCTCCATGGCGATCGATAGATCGGTCAGTTTCTCCTCGATCTCCAGCAATTCCAATTCACAGGGAGCCTGAAGCGTTTTCATGGCCGTCACCAGTGTCGATAATTCCTCGGTTTTACGTAGAAACAGCTTCGTCTCCGTCGACATTGTCGTTTCCATTGTTTTCCCATCCCCTGGATTCAAATAAAAGATTCCGTAAACTGAGAACAATGTTGAAACGGTTCAAGAGAAAACGAAGGTTTATTTGCCCCGTGTTGAATTTCAAATCGACACGGCTATCGTTGTTATTTCAGACACGGGGCTGTCACTGTTGTGTTATTCATCGACGATGACTGTTACATCGCTGAATTAATGTAAGAATTGTCATTTTTGGAATGAAAGGAAGTTGCTTTCACTTGACGAAATTAGACGATGATACACACCCTGTCAATTTACGTTAACACGTTCAGGACAGCAGTGAAATTTTGGAAACACTCGCTTACGACCGGATGATTCGATTTTATTTCAGTGTTTATTATCATTAATACTTAATTTTTTTCAGTTTCCAAGCTTTTCAGCTTTCAAATATACGTGTTTTTTCATAGAATATTATAGAATAATGTGGGTCACGGGTATTACCGACTTTAACACTTTACCGACCGGTAGCCTATTAATCGCTTTTTTGCCGTCGACGCTTACCGACCGGTAGCCTATTAATCGCTTTTTTGCCGCCGACACTTACCGACCGGTAGCCTATTAATCGCTTTTTTGCCGTCGACGCTTACCGACCGGTAGCCTATTAATCGCTTTTTTGCCGCCGACACTTACCGACCGGTAGCCTATTAATCGCTTTTTTGCCGTCGACGCTTACCGACCGGTAGCCTATTAATCGCGTTTTTGCCGCCGACGCTTACCGACCGGTAGCCTATTAATTGGTCAAAGTTTGATTTAACATTTCTATATTTTCTAGAGCGCATATATTCCCGCGCGATAGCCTAGAGTCTAAATAGAGCCGGTGTCAGCGATGAATCTGTGGTCGACTGAGCGGTCGGAAGTGCGTAGGATGTTCAACCGGTATCGGTCGGTAAAGAATTAAGAAGCTTGCATTTTAGTCCCTCTCACTTAATGAAATTATTCCTATTAAGCAATTAAACCATGTGTTTGTCGCAACGTATATTTCGTGTCACTTAAATAGCGACACATATTTACACGCAATTAATTACACTAAAATTCCAACGGTTGAATAATTAAAAAAAAGTACATGGTGTTAAGAAAAAATGGAAAAACACATTCTTCTCCCCTTCTTTCCAAAAGAAAAATGTTGACAAAAACGACTCTTCGAAGAAAAAACAGATTTGTCAACAGGATATATCGTGTTATTAGTTCTGTTTCTTTAAAAATTATGTTAATTCCAATTAAGTGTTGACATCTTTTGTGAAGCACCTTGTACAAGAATCATTTGCATCAATTTAATTCTATCTTTTTAAAGGAACTTTCAGTGTCGCAAACTTTTCTCTAACTTCTCGCGCAAAAGTTAGCAAAGTAGTTTATGAAAATGATTACGAAGACTCGTTAAAAGAGTCTGGACACCTTAAATCCTGGAATAAACTATTACTTGGAAAGTAAAACGAAAACAGTGATTCATGATAGCCATTCCACTACGTAACTACGTAACCTGCGACGTTTAAAGACGTACTGTTTAAAAGTTACGAACCAAGAGCAACCTTAAATCCATGGCATGTAACTAGGGAATAAACTTACTCTTTACCAGCCACTTATCATACTACCGAGTGAAAAAATTCCAATTAATTTTCTTCGTTAATTGATAGAACCACCTTGGAAAAAGTTTGCAGTTATAAAAGTTTGGTAACTACTAGAAAAAAGCAGTACAGTATCATATTATTCGTATGTTTATCTAATATGTACTTTTTGCATAAACAAAATAAAAAGACTTTCTTTCCCAAAATGATAGAACCAGCTAATAATGCTACGATATTGGCAACAATCAGTTCAAATGTTTCAAGTTGTCTGTCAGTTGGAACTTAACAGAAAACAGTTACACCTTACATTTCTAAGTTATGAATCGTACGACGAAGTTCTATGTTATGACATTTAACGATAAAAGAATTTCTAACTTTTAAATTTAAATTTTACTCGTATTATATTAATAAATAAAAAATTTTAATTTACATTTTTGAAGAAGTGCATCATACAGATTTTATAAATGTTGTATGAAAAGTGTTAAGGTGACGATATAATCGGTAAAAATATACGTGCTCCTTGTACTACGAGATTCCAAACAGGATCATTTTTTTATTTACCTTAATTTTCTAATCGCTGTTTAAATTTAACTCACATTCGATAAGTGTCCTGATACTTACGAACGGGAGTGTACAAGCACAGATAGCTATCGATAGAAATAAATCTAGGGGGATGTTTCAGGAGTTATCTTTAACAGCATCAAGGATTTTCGCGCGTATTCCCCATGGGACAAATTCTCGAGCGGGGAAAGAAAAATTCGTCGAAATAGATAAGAGAACGTACCTGCAGATAAACGTCGAACATTTTCCAGGAGAGAATGATAATGGGCCACCTGGTCCAAAGTCTCTTTATTCAGTCTCATCCTCAGGATCCCGATCAACAATGTTTCCACGCGCTCCAACAGTTCCTCGAAATGTCGATCGTAATCTGTCTGTAACAAAAAGGGGAGGAAGATTCGTTTGGTTCTCAGTCCTCCTTTCACGCCTCTATTTCTTCTTCGCGAACGAACCGCTCGTCGTTTACTCTACTGAAATTAGGAGTGTAGAAAAGAGTGCTCGGTGAGACGAGTTACTGTCCCTGAGGGAACGTAAAGAAATTCGTCGAGAATCCATCGGAATAAATTGTTTGCAACTCTGTCTGAGTAATTTAAAGTGTTACAATTTAAATTCTTATATTTTTACCAGCGACAGAAATGCAAATATTTCTTTATCCTTAAATTAACCCCCTTTGTAGGCAATCTGGGTCGTTATTTTTGCTGGTAAAACTGTTCAACATTTGACTTAACGAATAATTGTGTAATATATAAGAGACCTTGACAAGTATCACAGAATTTCTTCAAATTTTTTCAAAGCCTGGAATAGTAGAAAAATTAAGCTTAGACATTAAGCTTAGAAAAAATATGTACGTTTGCCTATGGAGGGTTAAATCATACGATTAAAGGGAAATAAGCGATTTGAACCAGCTTAGATGCAAAGATTTCTCTATTTCGAGTGATGCACAATTTACGCTAATCGATGAATATGAAAATACGTGTATAAATGACACGTCGTGTTTCACGTGACCAGCAATAGTAACGGAAACTTTGAATCTTCCGATTCCTTTGTCTGTTGCAGATGAAAGGTTAGGCGGAAAGGAAGAAAACCGTAATCGAGGTGGAGCACTTAGGTGGAAGCGGAGAAAATTAATGAAGGAAGCGAGGGAGCATTTTTTCAATTTAAGGGGAATAAAGGAAGAAAGCATTTTAAGTTAAGTACCTTAACTTCGAAAAACCGTGACCCACGTCAAGAGTTTGCATCTTGTTCCATTTCGTTTTTTGCTTTGTATTTGTAGAGTGAAACAGAAGATTTTATTTTCAATTGAAATTGTAGCAGGAAGAAAATAAAAAGTATTAAGAAATGTGCAAAATAAGAGTTTTTTTTTCAATTTCTCAATTAAATTGCCTATTTTCTTTTACCTAACTACCAAAAGGTAAATTGTAATCGTGTAATTTAATTTAGGAATAGAAAAATATTTGCATTTCTGTTGCTAGAATTCTACTTTCATAATCGCTTACGTTGCTTCAAAACGCTCATTTTCCTTCAATCTTACGATTGAATTTAAGAATATGGATTCATCGCTGAAAGCACAGTAGTTTACTAAAAAGTTCTTATTTCAGCAATGAATTATTTCGAAATAAGAAAAATTAGAAATATGCGTTTTTCCTTTATTTTGTCGAGAGTACAATCGACTGAATTTTTCCCCCACTTGTACAGTAAAAAATGAAGCTTTCGAGTAATTTTCTATTCCAGCAAGAAACAAATTCTGACTTTAATATCCCCCGTCTTTTAGAAACTCGCGTTATGTTTCTGTTTCCAAAACTGTTTGAAATTACTATACGTAGAATTATGCAGAAAAGATTCGTATAGAAGTAAGCTCGCATGAACGTGCACATAAATAATTTGAATCGTGTGTAACGTGTTATTTGAAAAGTCAAAGTCCGGCTGAGAAAAGGAAATGCAAAGTTATAAGTATTAAAATTCCAGATCGTTGGTTCACCGTACCAGAACGATAAATTTGCACGAAACGACGAGAAAGAGAAAACAGGAGGCCAGGGCATTTTAAGTTCTAATGTTGTTTTCGTTGCGCTCATTTCTCTCGTGTCCACTGAAAACGGGATAAACAAGTGAAACGCGAGAAAAAAGAGCGACAGTGGGGCAAAGGCGGGAAAACAGCTGTTCTACGTGAAAAAGCGAGGCGGTACGGGACATGGAAATGAAAGAATCAAGCAAAAATGTAGTAACAATGGGGAAAAAGAGTAGGCAAAGAAATTGGAATTTGCGATACCTCGTGAGAATGTAAACAGAAAGTTTGCTGTTAATCATAGCCGCAAGGTTCAAGCAAGTATTAATCATTCGTGTTCAAATTATAATATTAAACTTACTTCTGTCGGTAGAAGCAATTTTTATATAAATATTAATTTACAATAACATTCTTCTATAATAATATTTAAATTATACGGTATAATTTC